CTGAATGTTGGTGATTGGTGTAGCTTTTCTTTCTTACCCATTCTACTGTACACTGAATGTTGGTGATTGGTGTAACATTCCTTTCTTATTTAATATTTATTATTTAGTAGCTATTCTTCAGGTAATATTCTGCTACTTGATTCCATACCTAAACTGTAACACGTATCATAGCAATTTATCTCAGATACCGAGTTACTTTAAGGTTACACTGTTAGAGCTGCCCCCTAACAATGCGCCATCTGGTGACAAAGTTGTTGAATTATGACGTCATCTTCTTTGGTGACATCATCCCCTCTCCCTGAGTCCAACACATGTGGTGCGCCCTCTAGCGGCAAGGCGCTCGGGTGGCCCCCTAACTACTACTGTTACACTGCCAGAGCTGTTTAATGGGTTTCATTGGTCACAAGACGTTTTTATGAAGAATTATGAAAAGTTCTGCTTTATACACGGCAATACTGATGTTAGGTTGCTTAAAGAACATGAAATCTGCCACAGTACTTGCTGACACCTAGTGTTTATGTGTTGTATATCATTTCTCTGTTGTTACTTACATTACTAGTAATGGTTATAATATTTATATCTGATTTTTTATTTTGATTTCTATATTATATCTTATTATAGAGATTGTTTTTTTGTTTTTTTTGCTGGCTCAATATATGTATTTAGGACTAGTCTAATTCTATTTAATATCTTTACCAACGAGACTACCTAACCTATGAAACATCGCATTCTAAGCTTTATAAGTAGAAACATAAGAAAATGATATCTGATTAACTATATTCAATATCAAAATGATTTCTATTTTCGTTCTAGGGTGGTAGCTCATTCTGATCGAAAGGTAGTATTAATGTCTATGTGTATTACAACAAGTTGGTCATAACCTGACGAAACTAGTCAGTATGCGTTAGTTAAATTAAAGTGAAACATGGTCTAATACGTGTACAATATATAATTTTCTTGCCACCATTTGTATTTTCATGTTTACAGACACACCAGTTCTAGATCAACAGGACATATTTTAGCTGAGAAGACACACAGTTCACAATAACGTTCATTACAGTATGAAACTCAGTAGTTCTTGACCATAAGATGCTTCTGCTCTAAAGTCAATGTCAATATTTAGGCTTGAGTACATAAAGAGGAGAATCCACAATTTATAGAACTGCTTGATTTAATCCCAAGATCATATTGTTCAGTTTGTAGTGTATTAGGTAGTGGAATATTGGGAAGTAATAATCATTGTATTATCGATCCAAATTTTAATTAGACTAGCTTTCTCGTATGTGTAAGGAAGGGAATTACTTACAGTTGTATTTGGCTGCTTTAACTTGAGAATATGATCCGCTGCTGTTAACATTGCATGTGAGAATGATAACCTGTGGGGTACAGAGAAACTAATTTAAGATAGCATATACCCTTTAAGTGTCAACAAATATCAATAAGGTTTCCTTAGTTCAGACTAATTTTACACTTCCCATCGAAGTCTGGAATCCATTTTCAGGAGCATTTGTAGAAGTTATCGGAAACATAAGACATTTCTTTTGTATTTCTTTATTTTTATAATATGTAAATTAGCCACAGTAGTAATGTTATACAACATGGGCCAGACTATGTCTTTGTATATATTTCAATATATTTTCATACAAAAAACATAATATGAAGATAACACAATGTAAAGGTTATTATTCTATCTTAAGTTATTTTACATATAAAAAACCGTTTTGACTCATGTTACACAAATTAATTAATTATGGAGTACAATTATTGTAAATCAAAATTGGCCTATAAGTTAGAAAGATCTACGAAATTCGCAAACGAACAAATTAAGTTGAGAGATGAAAATAGATTTGGCGTGCAATATTTACTTTCACAGTTGCTGACTAGTTGATAATATAAACTCACGCTTTACAAGTGAAAATGTATTGGCCAGTTTGGTGCTGAATATTTGAAATGTATGCGATGTTCAGTTATGATTTTATAGTTAATATAAAAATTAGTGGTGATTCTGGTTCCACGTCAACACATCTTCCGAGAACATCTGGTACACTGAAACAAAATGTCACAGAAAAAAAACAATGCTGATACCACATTTTAACTTTACACCATACAGAAAAATATTTGGAATGTTTTTCTCAAACAGAAAATCAAATCAGACCTTTCCCTCAAAGGATGTTGTAACAAAATTTGAAGTATGAGTTATCTAGCTATTTCGAGAATCTCTTGGAATATTTATATTGCAAAGTATCATAACTATAATTGAAATATGAATTTAAATTTAAAATGTACAAACATTAATGCTGTCTTTTTTTAAAGAATTAAATGTTAAAATGTTTATTTATGTTTGTTTGTTTGAAATTAAGCACAAAGCTACACAATGGGCTATCTGTGCTCTGCCCACCACGGGTATCGAAACCCGGATTCTAGTGTTGTAAGTCCGCAGACATACCACTGTGCCACTGGGGGGCATTTATTTATGAGAACGTGACCTATAACGGTTCTCCTAGTAACTGTTCTTAAATTTTTTTGGGGGGAATCCTGGCAATAAAAATCTAGAACCCACCTTATTGTTATAAGGATTGAACCTAGTGTTTCATAATAACATGTTTAATCTATATATATCAGTATACTCAAGATCCAGAGTTGATGACGTTGGCTCAACGTATGCGACAATTACCTGATAGCTACGTAGCGAACGACGACGTCCACACGGATGAGGTATTAGAAAGAGTGGAGTTTGGTAAGAAAGTCCTCTTCACGTTTTATTCTGAGATACTGAACGCCATGTCGGAACGCTACGCCCGGAAAAAGACTTGTAGTTTCGTCATCTCCAAGAACCGATACTTCCCTATGGTATTCTCTTTCGCATTGGCTAAACACTTACCCAAGTGTTTTTACGATAAAGTTAAATTTAGGTAATCATGAAAGTTTTAATATGTTTGTTTGTAATTAAGCACAAACCTACAAAATGGGCTATCTGTGCTCTGCCCACCACGGGTATCGAAACCCGGATTCTAGCGTTGTAAGTCCGCAGACATACTGCTGTGCCATTGGGGGAGGCGTTTCAATATGAAACGATCTTCCTGGTACAGGCCTTTTCGAAAAAAAATATGTATCTATCTTAAAAACAAAACAAATTATCGTTAAATATTTTCGCTTAAATTGTTTTCTTGAGAAAGCCTTTAAAACATTGAATATAATTTATTTTTCTTCCTAATTGCGATTAACATTAATATATCAGGTGTAATTTTAGAGAATATTTATTGATTTATATTCTAATCTTTAGAAAATATGCAAAAACAGTTACCTATTCAAGAAAATTATTGTTTGTTTGGAATTAAGCACAGAGCTACACAATGGGCTATCTGTGCTCTGCCCACCACGGGTAACGAAACCCGGTTTCTAGCGCTATAAGTCCGCAGACATACCACTGCGCCA